GGAAGTCTTACTTCTTTGGCATAAAGAATCTAGTCAACCTACTTGTGTATGATAGTAGACAGTTCTTCAACTGGATTTCCATTTAGAAGAATATCCATTTTGATTAGGTCTGCTGCTTGGTATCCTGCATCTTCATAATCAAAACTAAAAAAAAGACAGTGCAGAAGTTAGTGATGATATTGTAAACTTATATTCTGTGTTCTTTGTTCCATAAATTTTAAATTATAGACACAATTCTTAATAAAACATTTGAACTTTTTAGTAAAATTGGAGTACAGTTTTTAAGTCTCTCAGTACATCTCCCCAGTGCAAAACCAGACTAGAAACATACTGCACATAATGTCCCCTCCAATGCAGCAGAAGATGTCATCCTGACTTCCAGGATATCCTTCCAATCTACTAAGCAAGATAAATCAAGCAGAAATCAACATGCTTAATACAGTTTTTTAAAGGGTTTATTCAAACACTTATTTTCTATCAGCTGGAGGCTCCTTCAAGCTCCAAGAAACAGAACCCTCCAACACAGCTTCTGAACAGTAAATGTCCCGAATAACAAAGGAATCAAACGCTAATCCTGGACTGCTTTCTTTTCATCCTCTCATTTATATGACCCTATTATCATTCTGACAACTAAGTTTTCCACTTAATTGCCAAACTCTCCTTTGGTAGGTATGGGACTTGCTGTCTGTGTGGCAGTTTGCAAAAAAATTCTTAAAATGCAAGAGTTACAGAGATAATGTATGCAAGATATAGACAGATCGACAGATAGATCGATCTTGTGTCTAAGTATAAATGTGGAGGATCACCAATGCCAATATAATTTGGTCAAATCTGAAATATCAGAACAGAAAGGGGAAAATCTTTTGAGATTATTTCAAAGTTCTTCTGTCGTAGTTGGCTTAATAAATCATAGTCATGTGAACATATTTATATAACAGAAGAATGATAAACAAACTATATTAAGGAGTCAATTAGGAAATAAAAATAAAAAACCAAGATAATGCGACATTGTTTGCAATCACGTCTGAATCAAAGGAAAACAAGTATAATTCTGCCAATGAGATAGCTTCTGATAAACAGGTTGGGTTTTATGTAGTTGGGGAGCTACATCTGGAGAGAAATTCAAAATCTTCAACCCCTTGTTTTTTCTACCTTGCCACTCCACTTTTGCTTATGCTTCTACTGCAAATATTACAAACCTGGGCAAAACATGTCTTACTTACATTTATAAGGCATATTTAAGAAAATACACACTCAAAGCCAATTCAGTCCTTCAATAAAATTCATTTTTATGTTTAGAAAATGAAGAATGTAATTAGGCATACCAGTTCCTACTGTGTAATATATCTTACTAATATCTTGACCTACCAGGTTTGTGAGAGCTATTGCACTTCCTGGGGCACAAGGCCGTGTGCAGTGCAACATTTTCCCTGCCATTAAACTCACAAAGGCTCTTCACAAACATCTGAGTGTTGTACTGGCCTCTGAATTCATAGAAGCCACACACAACAGAAAATTTTGTCTCAAAATACAGATTATTTACTTTTTTCCCATAATAAAGCACATATGTAAAGTAAGTATTGTTTAAGTATCTCATGTTGTTTTTACTAGCTTTAAATACCCAATTTGGTTATTTTCTCTTTTCCACCAAGAGACAGTTAATACAATAAGTAGTACAGTTTCAGTGATTCCTCTCACAGAAAATGCCCTGTGTCACTTCAGACAAGTAAGCACCACCTAACTCACATAGATGAGCCAGTGCCACTCCAGAGTTGCACTTGAAAAATACACACATGACCAAAGACAATGATTATTAGGTAGTGATGCACTTTTGATGTTTTCCATACTTACTTCCATCCATTTTCACAGTAAACATAATCCACTAAAGGTGAAGACAGACTAGATTTGCATCATAGATTTTCCATCTTAAAGGAATATTCTTCACTCATGCCCTTCCGTATCTGTTCCTCAGATCTTTTTTCACCACACCCCCCTTGAGGGAGGAAGGGGGAACAGGGGAGGTAGTTACCTTGCATAGCCAGAAGACAGAGACTTAAGAGCATCATAAAAATCCAACACAATTTCATTCAGTGGAAAGAGGTATTTTAGCATAACTCTGTTTTCATCAATGTACAACATATCCTTCTGGACTGCCCTGCGATCCTAGACAAATAAAAATTGTTTCAGTTCCCCTTGACAGAAGTTTTCTACAAAAAAATAAAAAGCAAATTAAAATTTACAGCTATCCAGCTACAAAAGAGATTTCCTGTATGGTAAGCCCCAAAGTAACCTTCTTATTGGTAGTTCACTGAAGTCCCAGGACAAATGGCAGCATTGTAATAAATGATGTGGTTGTAACTTATCTGGACATATGATTCAAGCCTATCCCCTCTAAATGCTGAACTGCTGAAATCCTTAACAACTTCTGCTTCCTGCTGCCTTTTAAATGTATAATTATTTGTCCATAAAGTCTCACTGAAATTGGATTTTCACACAAACTGGAGTATTACACAGTTGGGCTTGCAGGCTCATCTTTTTTCCTCCCAGGAGGGTGTTCTTAAAAGTTACTTTAGGAATTCTTTTTACTAGATTTTATTCTTCACTGTACTGACATACAAGTATTGTACTGTTTTGTATTACGTATTCTGCAATGTTAAAAGCTAAGAAAAATATTGTGAAAAAATAATATAAAGACCATATGCATGGTAGTTAAAACATTTTCAATTAAAAATATTCCAAATATACTTGGAGAAATGTGTTTGGCCATCACTACTGTAAATTTACTTCAGTGAAGTACTGAAAAAAATACATGAGTGCACAGTAAAGTGTTGACAGAAGTTGTATTTTCTTCCATATACTTCTAAAAAAACAGTACATCTTATTCCCCTGCTGCAGATTCCATTCTTTCAGGAAACAGAACAAGATATGAGTTAGTCTAGTACAGACCAAGCATTTATTGTCTGAGCTTCATCACTAATTTTCAATATATGCATTCTGTAGTTCAGAATGTTACAAACAATAGGTTAAAAATAATTTTTTCTTTCAAAAGTAATTAATAACTACTGTCAAAGATACTATTTAAGTACTAATATCTATTATCATACTATCTAGTATCTTCACTTTTAAGTATGAGGTAAAGAGCTTAAAAATGCAAAAGACAAAACTAAAACTATATACCAACCTGACACAAAGCAATAATTTTCCCAATATATTCATGAGGTGTTACAATAGTACCAAGAATAGTTGGCTCCAAATACTCTGATACTGAAAGTTTATCAGGAAACTGAGCAGGGTTGATAATAGTAATCTCACCTCTTCCATACTCCTAAAAAGAAACAAGTAAACCAGGATAGCATCATTTTACAAGTAGCAAAGGAGACAAATACAGCATTGAAAAAATGCTAAAAAATGTTTCAATTGCTTGAAAACGTTTGTGCATTCTGCAACCCAAGTTTAAAACTAGAACAATTTCAGAAGAGATTTCTACATCACATATAGAAATCCCTTATCAGCATATCTTTAAATATTATTATATAGAAATATTACAAGATTTACTTTTTACTTGGGAAATGAGAGAAATACAAAAAGCCTTTCTATCCATCTTTCCACATCTCTCTCTCACCTGTAAAGTGAGGATCTTCCTTCTTACTTCATCCTTATCCTCTAAGTTACTAAGACCCTGCCAGCCTACAGTAGCATTACAAGCTGTTCCTAAAAACATTCATGTTTTTTGCCTGATAAAGCCTGGAAGATTATTTCACCTGCTTTTAATACAGTCCACTCAGTATGTACTTAAAAGAATACAGCAAGACATGTGTCCTATATTCCCATTTTCAGGGACAAGTGTAAGACATAAAAAGAGTGCTTGAAGTGGATGGAGGAAAAATAGTTAACATCCTTAAAAAAAAAAATTTAAAAAAGTTGTAAGTTAAATACTGGTATTTCTAATATTTCCTATGAAATACAGTGCTAGCTTACATTTAAACACAGACTGTAGGTGTTTATTATAGGAGGCTTCTCATCTGCTATTTATATAAATTTGTAATTAATTTAACATACCTTTTTCAACTTTGCTGAGGAAAGAACAGCTTTATATGGAACTGTTGGTGCAGTCAAAATAACAGACATATTATACTCTTGTTCCAAACGTTGATTAAAAACCTCCATGTGTAGAAGACCAAGGAAACCCAATCTGGAAAATAAATAACCTGTTGGTAAAAGTATTTGTATATCTCCTAGAATTTCAGTGGATTTTTTTCACCCTCCAACATATTTACACTGATAGTGTGGCAATATCAAGCATCGCAAACAACCTCCAAAGGACCAAAATAATCCTAAAGTTGAATACTGTGTGTCTTGGAGAAAAAAAAAAAAAATCAATCACAACAAATTTCACTTTGTGCAAACAGAGAATGTAAGAAAATTAAATGCTTTTGATCTTTAGCTATCATTAATTTGAATCAAAGCTCCTAATGTTGAATTCATTTTAATTGTCTTCAATTGACTTAAACCTGCATTTTCAATTTATGAACAGTTCCAAAAATTAAAGCAGTATAAAAGCCTCACCTCCATCCAGCTCCTAAGGCAAGACTACTGTCACGATGAACAGTTACACTGGAGTCATTCAATGTCAGCCTTTCCAAAGCACTTTTGAGATTATTATATTCTGTTTGATCTACAGGATACATTCCTGTCAAAATATATTAGATAGAAGCGATGTGATAGAGAGCTTTATCTAGAGTGTACTTAGCTTCCAAATATGCCTCTGACAGTGAACACAGTAATAAAATCAGAAATAGCTTAGTTTGTGTTCCAGTTGTTTTTAAACATGAAAAAAAATAAAGGATTCTTTTTCCTCATAAAAATTAATCAAAACATAATAATAAAGTTTTAGATTACCTCAGAATTAACACTTAAAGCATAATGGTAGGATCACTGTACTCATCTAATCCTTCACAGTTGTGGAAGATGCACACTTGAGTATAACCACTGTTTTACAGGGCTGCAGTGTAAACATATAGCTTAAGCATGCATGAAAAAGTGGACAGATTTCATTGAGATGTTTCTTCAATGGTAAGACTGAATGGAAAATAAAACGTGTCATTTGAAAGTTGCAAATGTTTCTATATTTTTTGAAATAAATAAAAACAGCTGTTTGTATAATTACTGCATAAAACAGGTTCTACTTTATCACTTTTCACATCACTGAATCTTCAGAAAATGTAGATTACTCTACACCAAGAAGCAACACATGTGCCCACAAAAACATTATTTAGAAGATTACACTTTTCTACATTCACTGACTGACTGCCTAATCTCAATGAGACAGTTCAAGTGAGTTTTTATGCATTGCTCCACAAGTCTCAAAAATGATATACAGAATTTATTTCCTTCTAAAGCCACCTTCTGTAGCATTTGTATTAGTACAATTATGGAAACCTGATTATCAATATGAAGAATTCCCCCCAAATTACTTTTTTTTTGATCTTCTAGGTCTCAATCCTTCTTTTCCAGCTATTAAGAGTTTACTGGAATTAGAAACTGCATTCCAAGTAATCATGGCAAAAAATACACGTTAGTCTTGTACTCATATAAAACCAGTCAGCAACTATTATTAATCCTGTCTGTTAAGTTACAGGGAAAATTACACAAAGCTACATAAATGACACACTTCTCTGCTGAAATTCTAATCCTCACAACTCTTAATACACACGTATTCTTTTAAAAGCTCTAACAGCTCTCTTGTAATTGGGAAAAAAAAGTAATTCCACTTTATATTGGTTTACTCCTCACCTGCAAAAACCATTGGCTTCGCTGACTTAAAGCCAGGCAAAGGCTCCACTGGCTGTTTATACAAAAAGAGTGTGTCTCCTATTTGGGCTTCTGTTACTTCTTTCATTCCAGCAATCAGGTAGCCCACCTGTCCTGCATATCTAAATAAAATTGGTGTTATATAGGCATGCTTCTTGGCATTAGCAGTATTTCCAATATTTTCCTACTTGATTTAGCCCAGACAGAAATTCAAATAAATCATCCCACTAAAAGCCCATATCCATAGTCCAGAAGCCAGATTTCAGTTGTTTCACCTCAAAGTTGTGAACTGCCTCAAGCAGTTCTATTTCTGTTACAGCTGAACAGTACATTTATGGTCCTGGATTTTGAATTCTGTATTATTCCCAGTTTAAAAGATGGAGCTAGACCCTTGAGAAGCTCCTTCTAAGACACAGAAGCCAGAACAGTTCCCAGCTGTCAACACAGCAAGTTTTATATACTAAGAGGAAGAAACGAGACAAACACCTTCCATCAGCAGATAATGCTAACTGGAGGGGAACCCATGGTAGATACCAAGTAAAATACCAAGTAAAATACTGGTTTTGGCTAGGATGGAGGTAATTATCTTCAGAGCAGCCCTGTATGATGATGTGTTTGGGACTTGTGACTAAACAGTCTTGATAACAATGTTTTAGCTATTACTGAACACTGCTTGCACAGCATGAAGGCCCTCTATGTTTCTCACTCTGCCCCTCCCCAAGCAAATGGGGTGGGAAAGAGCCTAGGAGGTGACAGGGCCAGGACAGCAGACCCAAACTGGTCAAAGAGATATTCCATGACATATAACCTCATGCTTCACAATAAAAAAGAAGCAAATGAGTGACTGGGTGCGTAGTTGCTGGCTGGGCTCAACCCGCCAGACACAGTAATGTAGTCTCACTGAGAATCCCCCAATAGCAATTAACACATATTCGGATGCAAACTGGTAGAACTTCTCCACTAATTCTAAGTACCTGGTTTTCTTCCCACTGCTGCCATGAGAAGCCAGTTTCTGGAAGCTGTTGTATTCATGGATTTTAAGTTTTCCACCCTTAACATATGCTGCAGCAATAACTAAGATGAAGCCCCATTCCCTTCCACTCTCAAGCAAGGCAGTTCCTAGAAGTAAATTGGACAGCTGAATAAGAATATCAAATGCTAGTCTTAAAAAAAGTAGCTGTCCAGATGTTCCATGTAGTACAGATGACAGAATGGTTTCCTCCCCCAGTAGCGCCCAAAAAGCAGTCCCCAAAACCTTCTGCCTCAGCATGCCCAAAATGAAAAAGATTGACACTGAGCATTAAATTACAAATAATAATTATAAAAAAACCACCACCAAAGAACAAAAAAAAAAACCTAAACATCTCCCAGCTTTTATCACTTAACGCAAAAATCAAACAGAAAATGAAGCGTTTTGTAGCTTACACCAACTTCTGATTTGTTCCACTGTAAGAAGATTTTACTTACAGCTTATGTGTTGGCTGCTCATTTGGAGTTAGAATTCCGACTTCGCTGACTTCGTATCTTTTCTTCGTGTGTGCAGACACAATTTTATTCCCTTTTGTAATCTCCCCACCAAAGAGCGCAACATTAGCTACGACGCCTCGGTAGTGGTCAAAGGTGGAGTCAAACACTAAGGCTTTCAATGGATCAGCAGTATTACACTGGGGTCTGTCACAAAAAAACAAACAAACAAACAACAACAAAAACAATTTTAAAAACCCCAATATATTATGCATTGTGTTTTCATTTAATATTGAGTGAGCAAACACACCCACCCCCAAAACTTTCATAGAATCACAGTATACCCGGTTGTAAGGGATCTCAACGATCACCTGGTCCAACCCTTCTTGGCAAAAGCATGGTCTAGACAAGATGGCCCAGCACCCTGTCCAGACAAATCTTGAGAATGTCCAATACTGGGGAATCTTCCTCACTTTTCTGGGGAGATCATTCTAATGGCTGACTGTGAAACATTTTCCTCCTGTGTTCAACTGAAATCTCCTCAGGACTAACTTATACCCATTAACCCGCATCTTTTCCATGTTACTCCTAGTAAAAACGGAGTCTCCATCCTCTTTGTAGCTACCATTTAAATACCAGAATATGGCAATAAGGTCTCCCCTAAGCCTTCTTTTCTCAAGGCTGAACAAGCCCAGTTCTCTCAGCCTTTTCTCACAGGGCTGGCTGCCCAGTCCTTTGATCATCTTTGTGGCCCTTCTGTAGACCCTCTCTTACCATTATTACTTAATAGCAGGAAAAAACGAATGAAAAGCAATATGCTGACTGAAACTGAATTGTAATTTAGCAGCTTTATCATCAAGTTCTCACAAGTCTATTTTAAAGGTCGGGTTCAGGATATGAAACTCTAAACACAACAGATTTAAATTACCTTTATCATTTTAACAATTTGATGTTCAAAAGTGGTAACAGCACATACCTGCAAACACTTCATGGAAGCTATAAAAAGTCACAAAAGTATCACCTTTAGTGGCTCATCTCTCATCTTTCACTTCAGGCTGAATTAATTTTCCTATCCCACTTCTTAAGAATAAAGAATTCTTCTCTGCTGATATTCACACATTCATGTTTTTAAAGGCATCTCAAATCCGAAATGTCACTTTTTCTCATTTGAAATTTCAAACTGACTTAACCAGCTCAAGCATTATATTACTCTCACATTTCTCTATAAAGTATTTTCTTTAAATCAGATGCATATTAAGTATAAAACTACTACCAATACCATACAAATGCAAATCACGGTTTCCTAATAAGCCTTACAATGTTAATTAGATATACAATTAAATAGAGACTTACGGTGGGATCTTCTCAATGACCTTTTGAAGAACTTTTTCAACATTTGTTCCTTTTTTAGCAGAAATCTAAAACAAATCCAACAATTTTGTAAGACACAACTTACACTCATTCAATATCTATTAAATAGTGTCACATTTACTTAGACAGTTTTAGTGGCCATAGATAATACTACCCATAAAAGCAGTCAGAAGGACACTTTAGAATGCTATTACTATGAAACCTTTCTCATAGATTATACTCTTAAATGTTTTCTCTTGTGAATAGCAATTATTGTTATGATAGAAACGAAAACAATTTATAGACTGACAATGAGAAAGTTTTAAATCTCTGATGCTATTCATCAAAACATACTAGAATTTTTAACTGAAAGGTATTTTCTCCACCCTTTTACAGAAGACAAACTTTAAATAAATTCATCTGTCAGAAAAAGACATGCAGACAGATGGCACCCTTTCGATTTACTACATGTACATGTTCTTTCACTAGCTACAAAGGAGATACTGTTATACCATCAGCCATGTTATAAAACTTAAGAGATTTTACCCTTATGCATTCATCTGCAGGGATATCAAACAGCTTCTCAATTTGTTTTTCAACTCTTTCAGGGTCTGCATTCTTCAAGTCAATCTGAAAAAACCAAACTGCTAAATATATAAGCAATCACTCTTTCACATGATCCAGCACTTTTTTCCAGAAGTACAACAAGAAACTTTTATGTATTTATGAGTAAATACTGTCTGTCTTCAAGAAATGACCAAGATTAATTTTAGAAAGTCTGCCTTCCTTGACTTCAGGAAGGATCCTCCCTGTAACTAGTCTATTTTTGGCTTGTTTCATTAGGCAAAACACTGTTGTCCAAGAGTTGGTAAAAATCTTTAGTTTACAAAGTAATTTGAAATCATTAAGTGCTATCTACACTGCTTACAGGGCCAAACATTAAGTACAATATACATCTACAAAAAGCAATTAACATAAGCTGAGCAGTAACTGATCTTGTGATTCCAATAATACAGGCCTCAAAATTGTATAAAACATAACTCTTGGATTTCATTTAAAACTACAACTCACCTTTTAAATATGGAGCTGCTGCTCATTTAGCCTCCTTAGTATCAATGGACTTTTAACTCCATCAATTCCAACAGCAAACCTGACACTGCAAAGTCCACCACTAAGTCATGTATTTCAGTGCTACGTTTTTTAAATACCTACATGTATTTTATGAAATTAAAAATTAGCATCCAAGCAATTACTGTAAAATGTTAAGCAGACAACAAATACAGAAAATGCTTATTACACTGTAGTAGTATTATATATATTATAAATATTATAACAACTTTTTTCATTATATACTTAATTGTATACTTTCATTATATACTATTTCAGGATACATTTCTTATCAGTCTTCTAGACACTCAAACAACCCAACTATTTAACAGGAAAGTCTAAAACCTTTATTACCTTATTTATGACAGGAATTACTGAAAGCTGTGCTTCAAAAGCAAGATAGAAGTTTGCCACCGTCTGAGCCTGAATACCCTAGAAAATAAGCATTGTAAAAGTTTGACACGGAAACTTCCCGAGTTTTGGTGAGTGTTTGTGTTTGGCCTACTATACAATTTA